TTCAGAAATATATAAACCAAGCAAATATAGCCTTCATGAAACATTAGGGGGTTGGTTTGGCCCCTACGTGTTCATCGGCAATTGATGTTTTTTTGTACGTAAGATGAAATATGAAGATCGCTTGGCCACACTGACAGACCTATAACTCCAGTTTTCAACACAGCAGCAACATAACACAACAATACAATACAACGCAAAGCAACACAACACAACACAACACAACACAACACAACAATTCAACACAACGCAATGCAACAAGCGCAATGTAACACAATGCAACGCAACACAGCACAACAAGTTTATGACGTTGTTTTCGAAACATGACGCGAGAGTATTACTGCTTACCCTGGGTTAGTAGCTAGTCTAAAGCAGGTTTTTCCCCAGCATTCTGTTGGGTTGTCATAACAGTTCGCCAGCACCCAGTTACATCCAGAGTAACCTGGGATCAGACTTGGGTCTCATCCACACTACGCCAGAGATATTTAAAACGAAGCTTTATTTCTAAAGTTCGGCCTTCTGTCCCCACTAATCCGGAGAAATTGTCCTCCGAAAACGGAACTTTTCGAAACGCTCTTCATGCAGACCGAATTTGAAAACCCCTGCTTTGCGTTTTAGTGTTGACGACAAGCATTTTAAAAACGGAGCTTTTCGAAAACGATGACGTCACGATAATCATGTGGTCTCTCTGCCGGAGTCTTCCTTAAACGCAAATCCAAACTGACGGCCGCGGGTAGCCAGGGTGGGTTGAGGGGAGGAGGGGAGGGCGGTAAATTAGACCTATAGATCGTTTTCACTGTCACGCAATAAAAAAATAAATCGAAAACCATCCAGTGGAAAAAGCTATGAAATTATGATGTTCTGGAAGATAACTAAATAAGCCACTTCTCCAAGTTTTAGGCCTGTGCGTTTCCCCAAACTTCAGATATTCGTCGGAATGTTTCGCCGATATTTACAGAGCCCAGTATGAAAACGCCATGTTGGTGTACCTCCGTGGTACACCAATATGGCGGCCGGAAAATAGTGTAAACATCTGGAACTTACTTTGGCTATCTAGGCGACTGATTGTCAGCACTGTGAAAACGATCTATATTATGCGCATGCTCAAAAGGTGCACTCAAGTGTTTCTGTCGTCAGCATTTTCAAATTCCTCCGGCGTAGTGTGGACGCAAAACATTTGAATCATTTTCAAAACGCCGTTTTCAAATTTCTCCGTCATAGTGTGGACGGAATCTTAGGTCTTTTGTAGTATGTCGTCACATGACGTCACTGAGTGCACCCTCTTACTTTTGTTTGTTTTCCTCGATCGTAACCTGTACAGCACTTGAAAGAGCCGAACTCTCCTGTTGACTATTTCGTCATTGGGGCAGGTGACATAGTAAGTAAAGACACAAGCAACAAAGATAAAGTACCTGAAGGCAGTTCGCTGTTTTTCTGGGCTGAATACTTTAAATTTGGAGGATTTGCAGTGGTACACGTCGCGGTGAATAACATGACGGTGGAGATGATGGACTCCTATGGAACTTCTCTTTACAAAACACAGCTTTCTCCTCGTCCATCAGTGGCCTCGAGCTCCAAGTGAATTTTGTCTCCTTTCCAGCTATCATTTGCACGTTAGCATCACACAGCAACGCCTTGAAGACTAGACACGACTGAGTTACGCTATAAAGATGTTTACTTCTTAGAAATATGGTGTATTGTTATGCGACCTAATAACTAACTTGATAATTAAGAAATACACAAAATTTTCTGCGTTTCCTAACGGTTTATAGAATGTTTTGGGAACACAAGTGCAGACCAGTGGTTCCATAGCGAGTTCTCCCAAACTTCCTCGGTTCAATAGGCCATTTTCGATATATAAAAATTCTACTATGACTCCGATGCTTGGGGGAATAAAAAAAAAAAAAAAAAGAAAGAAAAAAGAAAAAACAATTATTCATCCCTCGACCTCGATATGATTTCTTTTGTTTTATTCCCCCAAGCCTCGGAGCCGAATTAGAATTTTATATCGAAATGGCCTATTTGAAGTTCCTCTTTGTCACTCCGTGTTACGTTAAGAACAAATATATAAACAATAGCCTCCATTAGGTGCGAAATTGTCCGCGGACATTTTCTATTCCGAGAAGCGAGGTACGTAATTTATCTACATTGCATGCCCATAACCACATCGCAGTAAATTAAGTTATGGGAGGTGTTGTAACTACTGTGGCAGCTAAGGTATGCAGCGAGAAACAGGGTAGCACCGTCAACCGGCACCGAGGGAGAAGTGTTGGGCGAAAAGAGCTTCCTCCACCGGATTAAATCAAATTCCGCGAGCGCTAATTACGTATGCAGTGAGAATAGTTAACAGTTTACCAAGAGCATCGCCTGAGAATAACTGTGAGCCTTGAGGAACAGATAATGCCCAAGCACAAATATTCGAGCATATTTTCGTGCCAAATGGAGGTTATTGTATTTATCATCCTTTAAATATTTTTCACAACACGCGCAGTTTTGAAACAGTGGGGAATATCGTCGGATATTTACCCAGTTT